CTCCCTTTATTTTTGTACTGTGTTGTGTCTTGGAGGAATGTGGAAAATGCACAGCAAAGATTGTGGCTACTGATGTGACAGAATATGCATCCCAGAGGAATCTGAGTTCTCCCTGGAAAAAATATTAATCCCTTTAGCTTTTTATCAGCTTGCAGACAGGTCTGCCTGGGGCTGCCCTAGCTCTGTCTGGAGTAGAAGACCCATTCCATTTGGCTTATTGATTGCCTGTGGAGCCGGTTTGTTGCTTGAGAGCGGCTAAGGGCCGAGGTGAAAGACTAGGGGTAAAATTTTCAAAAGTAAATAAGAGCTAAATTGTGAAGGGCTTTGAAGGTAAGGACCAAATGTTTGTCTTCGATATAGTGGAAAAAGGAACCAGAGGAAGGATTTGAAGCATAGTGACAGGATCAACTAGGAAACAGCTTGGCAGCAGTGTTTTCAATGGACCCAAGGTGGTTGTAATTAAGGTTAGAGAGGAGGTGGTTCAAATAGTCAAGTCATGATATGAGTTTGAACAAGAGGTTTGACAATCTGGACAAGGAAAAGGTTGGTTCTTGAAGATATTGAAATGGAGAAATTGCAAGATTTGAATATAGCTTGGTTACAAGGGTTCAGAAAGGGAAGTGTTTAAAATCCATATGGAGTCTTGGATGTTGGTGGCCATCAACAGTGACAGAGGAAAAAGGTTTTGGCAGGAACAATGGAGCTCACCGTTTGCCATGTTCAATTTAAGTTGCCAGATCTGCCAAGACAGTGGTTCTCAATCTTTCCAGACTACTGTCCCCCTTTCAAGAGTCTGATTTGTCTTGCATACCCCCAAGTTTCACCTCACTTAAAAACTACTTGCTTACAAAATCAGATATAAAAATAGTGCCACAGTACACTATTACTGAAAAATTGCTTACTTTCTCATTTTTACCATACAATTATAAAATTGGAATATAAATATTGTACTAACATTTCAGTGTATAGTGTACAGAGCAGTATAAACAAATAATTGTCTATGAAATTTTAGTTTGTACTGACTTCACTAATGCTTTTTATGTAGCCTCTTGTAAAACTAGGCATATATCTAGATGAGTTGATGTACCTCTTGGAAGACCTCTGAGTACACCAAAAGGGGTACATGTAGCGCTGGTTGAGAACCACTGAGCCAAGGTGTGGAATAGGTCCTAAGTAGTGAGGCATGTATTTGAGTCATAATTACAAAGATGGTGGTCAGAGCCTATGAAAGTGGGTAAGATTGCCTAGACATTTCGTACAGGGTGTGGAACACAAGGACAGATATGTGGGAAACAGCTACTGAAAGAGAGGGGAATGGGAAGAAAGACCCAGCAAATGACATGCTGAAGGGAATAAACATAGTAGCAAAGGAGAGCCATGGGAGGATGGAGTCATGAAAGCCAATGGTGGACAGGATTTCAAGTACTAGATGGTCATAAAGTGTCATAAGCCCTTAAAAGGAGAGTGAAGATGGAGCAGAAGCCTTGAGCTTTGTACAGGAAGAGGACAGTGGAATGAAGAGGGTAGAAGATAGGTATTTCAGGCAATGATTGAAAATGCAGTTGTCAGTTTGGGCAATAATTGGAAAGGCAAGTGAGGTCAAGGTTAGGGTATTTAAGATGAGGGAGACTAAAGGATACTTATATTGTGAGGAGGAGAAAGGAGCACAAACAGCTTTGACATTTTTTGATGACACACTCTCTGCTGGTTGTCAAAGCGCTCACCTGGGATGTGGGAGAACTGAGTTCAAGTACCTGCTCCAGAGCATATCCCACTTCCCAGTAGAGTAACTTTTGGGCTGGGACTCTCACTCTCTCCTATTAGAGCAGTTCTACTGTATAAGTAATTAAATATTCATTGGAGCAGGGACTTGAATCTGAGTCTCCCTCATCCGAGGTGAGTGCCCTAACCAATGGGCTATAGTCAGTCTCTCTGTGACCTAATGATTATTTATTTATACAAACAGCTCTTGACATCAGAGAGTGAGACTCATTTCAGAATACCTTATAGCAGGGGTAGGCAACCTATGGAACGCATGCCAAAGGCGGCACACGAGCTGATTTTCAGTGGCACTCACACTGCCCGGGTCCTGGCCACAGGTCTGGGGGGCTCTGCATTCTACTTTAATTTTAAATGAAGCTTCTTAAACATTTTGAAAACCTTATTTACTTTACATACAATAGTTTAGTTATATATTATAGACTTTTATAGAAAGAGACCTTCTAAAAACATTAAAATGTATTATTGGCACGCAAAACCTTAAATTAGAGTGAATAAATGAAGACTCGGCACACCACTTCTGAAAGGTTGCTGACCCCTGCCTTATAGCCTGGTGGTTAGGGCATTCACCTGGCTTCAAGTTCCTGCTCTGAATCATGCATGCTTCCAGTTGTCTTGTGTGACAGGTATCAGATCTTAGGTGTGCTCAGAGCCTATGGGATCAGGCCCTAGTAGCAAGATAGGTTTGAGAATCCTGCTTTGGGGCTCAACTTGAGTTAGGGGTCCAATCCAAAATATGGTGTCAGCATTTAAGCACTTGGGTCCCTTAGGCTCCTACTAGGTTAGATGGTGGCTGACTGGGGGCTTTGCAAAATACCAGTGGTGCTGAAAATGTTGGACATAGGTATCTAAATGCCTTTGTGAATCTGGGCTATTAGCCCTGTTTCACAGGTAGGGAAACTGAAGCACAGAGCAATGAATGGACTTGACCAAGGTCCCCTAGCAGGTCGGGGCAGAGCTAAGTTCTCTTGACTACCATTGCTCCACTGTTAACCTTTTCTTCATGGCCTCAACTTTGTCCATAATTATTCTCTCTCTTCCTTGGTTCACAAGCATCCCCCTTCCCTTATAGAGAATGAAGAAGTTGTCTTGTGGCTTTTGGATGACTTCTGCTTATTTTTCTTGGACAGAGCCCCTTTCTGTTTGTACAAGGAGTCAAGATAAGAAACTGCATTTCTTCTCATTGGAAGATAAGTAACCTGTGCAGAAGGAAACTTTCCCAGAAGAGGAATAGAAAAAGGGATAAATGCTCATTACAGCCACAAAATAAATAAAAGGTGGCTCTCTGCACCTGCAGAGCTACTGGCAGGTTGAGCAATTCTTAGCATTCTCTTCAAAGGGCTTGAGCTGTATGTGTCCTGAGGAAGAAGTGGGCAAGCCATTTGTGAATGATAATGGAGAAATGTAAAAAACAAACAAACAAAAACCTCAGTTTCATCTTGTGCCTTCTTTTTCCACACAATGTGAAAGAACAGACTTCTTTATAAGCCAAATGCTGCAGCCACACACGAGTACATTTACACTTGGGAATAGTTCCCTTGACATGTGCTTTAACTTGAAGCACCTGCAGATGTGTTTGACTAGGGCCTATACATTATATACTTTTGATTTGTGTTAGTAGGGCTTACTGAGATTAGAGAAATAGTGGTGAAGTGGGTTTTGAAAAGATTCCTAGTGCCTGTGATGACTTTTAACACAATTGGTCCCAATAAATAGGTAAGCAGGTTTTGGTTCTTTGTATTGTTTCAAACTCATTGATACAACACTTTTTCCTACTGGAACAGAACAAATGAAGAAAGTTTAAAAATGGATATTTGAGGTGATCTGATTTCATTGAAGTTTTGTTTAAAATGAATATTTTCATTATAAAACAGTACAGTAACTTCACTCATGAATTTGGTACATGACAATACTGAAAAGCTCAGGTTCTCCTCAGCTTTGAAGACACCAACTTTGAAAATTCTAAGTAGCTTTGGAAACAGCAGCATGCTGATTATTTTGTTTAACAATTTAAGAGAAGTCAGGGGTTTATGTTAGATCGCTCATTCAGTGGGTGGGGCGAAGGCCTAAGAGCCAGACACTTAGGGTATAATGTATTCATAGCAGCTCATCCAGTGCTCTCACAAGAGTAGCAGTTGACTATTGCCGACTTAAAGTTATATATTGGAATCTAGATCAAGCCTGTTATGAAAAAGCAGTATCTGGGTATTTAAAAAAAACTCTGACTACTTGGCATGTAAAAATAAATGTATGTTTGATAGCTGTAACCTACATTGATCATTTCAAAGTGGCAGTAACCATCTTGCTAACACATGGAACCTCATTTTCTGACTCTGAATAAGTTTGGCACAGTTTTCTTTAACAGTAATCAAAAAAATAAATCACAAGTGTGAACACTGCTGCCATCCACAGACCTAAGTTTCTTCGACTACATCTAATGCTGTGCATCATGTGAATAAAAAGTTAACCAGACCTGTTAACCACAAGTCGAATCATAGCTAGCAGGTTCTAGACTGGCTTTCCTTCACCTGGTGTGGAGAGAGATTTTATTCTGAGCACACTAACAACAATGCTGTTTACCAGTTGGATAACATAGTTGTCAGAATAAAATCCCTGTCTCTAGTGGGCAGGAAAGTTTTAGAATTCTGCCATCCACAACCATACTGTGGCTACTATTTCAAACCTAATAAGGGCAGAGTCATAGATAACATTTAAAATAAAACCCTGCATCCCATTAAAAGAGGCTTATAAAGTTTCACTTTAAATAACAGAGCCAGTTCTGTTGCAGAAATGCAAACAGGTGCTCAAGTTAAGTCACCTTAAGATTAAAGGGTTGTTTTAAACCACTGTAGTAGTTTACAGTGTTATTAGAACCATAAGAGGGATGGGGGTGAGGTAATCTCTTTCACCAACAAAAGTTGGTCCAATAAGAGAGAGTGCTGCCCCCACCATGTCTGTTTTATGTAGTTTAAGTGTTTGTGCTTTGAGCCCTATTGTACAGCAAATTATTACTGTTACACAAAGAGCTAAACAAATTAACTGGGTCTTTTTTCAGAACAAAGAGAGTAATAGCAGAAGTGTAACCCAAACAGACAGAAGAAGGCTTGAAGTGAAGCCTTAAATATCTATAATGTTGTACTATAGCACTGCTTTGAAGCAAAGGAGTTTGAAGTCTTGAAACCAGAAATGTGGACTCTAGAAATGCCAAAACAACGTAAAACTGATTCTGTTTTCCTTTAATAAAAGCAGGACTTAAAACAATTATTACAACAAGAGAATTTAAACCTCCTGTATATATTGTACACTGGAACCAGCAACCATGGTCTCAAGATGATTTTGCTGTAGGTTCATTGTAAATTCAAGAGAATTTATCTTCTCCTTTTCACATTAGGATCATATCTGCAGTAAAAGGGAAAAATGTTATAAGTAAACGGATACCAACTATTTATTTCAGATATTCAAAGCTAAATGTTTGATTTAAACAGTTAAAAATTTGACATTTCCTTTTCTGATGAGGGCGAGGGCAGGAGCACGCTCTACTTCCACCTAAGTCAATAGATGTTGAGGGTGTTCAGTCTCTTGCAGCACTGTGTTTTTTATTGCCAGTAAAATAAAAAGGGTTACACCTGGACTGTGTGCCATTTCTAGAATTTGTGAGTGGTTTTGGTTAAAAGTAACTTGGTAACTTACTACCTCCTGGGAGTTTTAGATGCTTTAATATTGCAATCAAATGAAAATCTGTAGACATATTTCACCATGAAAGCTGCTATTTCTTGCTGCAAGAATTTTCATAGGCTAATACTGAAAGGACTTCCTCTCAATAACAATGAAGTTACCGATAATGACCATGTCATATGCTACAACTCAGTTCACAGAAGCATTTACCAATTCCTTCCACTTCTCCTCCCACACTTGATTCTTCTCCAGCTCCTGCCTACCGCTTGATCTTTTAATGAACTTTTTTGATAGGGTACAAAATGATTAACTAGTGCCCAGGAATGTGTTTATACTTTGAATTCAAACCTTGTCCTTTTTTCTCTCCAGGCCTGCCTCCCACCCCCAGACCAAAACACAAACAAAAAACTTCACTTCTTTGCTTCTAACCTGCTTTGTTTTCACAGATGAATAGGTTACAGTCACAACCGAGTGAGCAGGCAGTTTTACTTCCCCTAAATCTGATTCCATTTACTAAGCTTTCTTCTTTCTCTCTCTCAGACAGGAAAATGTCTCAACTTGTGAGCCAATTTACATCACCACTTAACTAGAAATGTGTTACAGGTCACTGCTGTTCCTAGGCAACTCATTTATCCTTTTTGGCGGGGGGGGGGGGGGGAGTGGGGAATGAACTGTGAATAACTATCACAGGCTGCATGCTGTTAATACACTCAGAATTTGGAAAGGCTCCTTACATGTTTGAATATGCTATAATACTTATACCGCAAATCACTAGTTCAGCTGGTGAATTAAAAATGTGTTCTGTAATAGCATACAGGATTTTATTTTATTTTTTTAACGAAATCACATTTTGTTTAAATTACACATAACATGCAATTCAAGTCCCACAGCTACTACTAGTTCCCTCAGATAGGGAAACGAAAGATACAGTATATACTTTTTGGCTGACTGGAGCAGGATGTTTGGCTATTTCTGCACTACAAAGCTTTTAGCGACAAGGTTGTGTAGCTACAGCTGTGTCGCTAAAAGGCACGCAGTGTAGCTGCTCTTTATCGGCTCTCCTGCCACCAAAGAGCTGTTCACACCAGCACTTGTCGTCGACAAAACGTTTGTCTTTTGGGGAGGTGTTTTTTTTAACACCTCTGAAAGACAAAAGTTTTGTCGTTCAGTTGCCAGCGTAGACATAGCCCTACACTCAACTTGATGGCATTTCTCCGCTTGTCTGTCTGGCTATAATGCTGTATGCAGTAGGGTTGTAGCTGTGTTGGTCCCAAGATATTAGAGAGACAAAGTAGGTGACATAGATGAGAGTCAATCCATCCTTATCATCATATCCACTCATTATAATCCACACCCGAACATAGCCACTTTATGAACTTCATACCCTCATATCTCAATGTCTATACTTTGACCCATCAACCTTTTACCCCCAATCGGGGATATTGCAAATTATGTATTCCTCATGCCACTTTACCTTAAACCAAACTTTGCACCCTCGATAATCTGTATGTTATTCCCTGATAACCAGAAACTTCTATGCTCAAATCTGTTCACTATTTTTTTTTAACATCATCTTAATAAAATTTTTAAATCTATTATTGGACCAACTTCTTGGTGAAAGACAAGCTTTCAAGATACATAAAGCTCTACAGGTCTGGGAAACATGCTTAGTGTAACAGCTAAATACAAGGTGTAACAGATAATTTAGCATAAGTAGTTAACACATATTTCAAGGGACCATTCAAGGCATAGGTGCTGACTCCATGAGTGTTCCAGGGCTGAAGCACTCATGGGAAAAATAATAGCAGGTGCTCAGTACCCACCGGCAACCGCGCAGATCAGTGCCTCCCCCTTCGCTCCCCAGCAGCCCCATCGATCAGCTCCTCCCCCTCCCTCCCAACACCTCCCACCTGCCTCGATCAGCTGTTCTGCAGTATGCAGGAGGCACTGGGAGGGAGGGGGAGGAGTGGGGCAGGAAGAGGTGAGGGAAGGGGTGGGGCTTGAGGGAGAGCGGGGGTCAAGCATCCCCCAGCATCTGATTAAGCCAGTGCCTATGATTTAAGGTGAAGTGGCTTGCTACCCCTCCAGTTCGGTGGGGAGCAGTTGGGCAGGCAGTTTGTGGGCTACAGATTGTTGTAATAAGCCATAAATTCCACTCTTTCTGTTCAGTCCACGATTTTTAGTGTCTAGCAAAGTTATGAATTTAAGTTCCCAAGCTTGTCTTTTGAAAATGTGCAGGTTTCCTTTGAGGATGAGGACTGATAGGTCAGAGATTGAACACTTTTTGCTAAGTGATCATTCTCTCAGAGGTGACAAGGTGTTTTTGTCTTTTATCATTTTCCTGTGAGAGTTGTCGAGAGTGTAACTATTGTCTGGCTTCACCCACCTAGTTAGACATACCAACTGTTGTAAACTGATTGTGAGAGTCATGATTTCTGAGTAAAATTAAGCCTCACACATGCTCTCTCAATAGAGCTCTCAAATGTCAGGATTTTTTTTCATATTTCCAGTCAAACAGGAGTTACCCCACCCTCAAGGAAGGAATGTGGTTTCTCTATCTGGCAGTTAATTCCAAAGTACTTTGAAAGACAATGAGAATTCATTTACATATCAGATAAACAAAGCTATCAAACTAACAAGTGGGGAGAAGAGACACTGTGGCTACACCCCAGCAGGGAAAAGAAACTTCATATGGGGCTATGTCTACACTACAGCTAACGTTGGCATAATTTACGTCGCTCAAGGGGGTAAATACATCACCCCCCTGAACAACGTAAGTTACACTGACAAGTGCCGGTGTGCACAGTGCTATGTCGATGGAAGAGCTTCTTCCGCTGACATAAATACCGCCACTCGCGGGGGCTGCAGTAGTAAAGCAGCTACACTAGTAGAGAGTACAAACTCTCTAGTGCAGCGGTTCTCAAACTATGGGTCAGGACCCCAAAATGGGTCGCGACTCCATTTTAATGGGGTCACCAGGGCTGGCATTAGACTTGCTCAGGCCCAGGGCTGAAGCTGAAGCCCAAGCCCCACTGCCCGGGATTGAAGCCGAAGCCCGAAGTCTTAAGCCCTGGGCAGTGAAACTCAGGTTTCAGCTACAGCCCCGGGTGGCGTGGCTCAGGTTACAGCTCCCACCATCCAGGGCTGAAGCCCCCAGGCTTTGGCTTCAACCCCCCCACAGGTGGCAGGCTCAGGCTTCAGTCCCCCTTCTTGGGGTCATGTAATTTTTGTTGTCAGAAGGGGGTCACAGTGCAATGAAATTTGAGAACCGCTGCTCTAGTGTAGCTGAGCCCTGGGACATAAAGAAGGGGGACGGACAATCCTCGAATAAGCAATTGAATCAACTGTAAAAACAAACAAACAAAAAACCTCCTGCCATTTAAGAGTTCTAAAAGTGAGGCTTAATTTTACTTTGAAATCCTGTTAGCCGCCCGAGGCGTGGCCAGGGCAGCTGCTCCCCTACCAGCCTGGGAAGTAGGAGAAGGGACCCCACTGCAGCCTCCCAGGGCTGGGGAGGGTGAAGAACACTAAAGAGCAGAGGTGAGGCTAGAGACTGCAGTGAGGAGGGTGGGGGCGCTGAATTGATGGTGTGTTCTGAGCAGATGGGATGAGTGCTGGGAGGGTGAACTGAGGGCGGCGGGGGTTGCTGGAGTATGGGAGCTGAACTGATAGAGGTGGTGTTGATGAGGACTGGAGAACTGAACTGAGGGATGGCTGAACTGAGGGGATTGGGTGGGGAGAGAACTGATGGGGGGACTGGAGGACAGGATTAACCGTTGGGCAGGAGACAGGCAGATGTGGTAGTGAGAGCTCCTGCAGCAGGGCCAAAATCACCTTATCCGGTACTTGTGGGAGAGTGGGCAATACTAATTGTCCCATACACATACCCTGGGAATGGGTAAGGGAGTTCAAAAATCAAGAGACTGGCCTAAAAAACGCAATACAATCTTTTTAAAAAATGTCATGATTTTTGGGCCAATCATGATTTTTGCGGGTCCGACTCGATGTTTCATCTCTGGAAGTTGGCAATACTACGTAGTTGCTACTGGGGAATTTAGTGGCCCTCATGAGGTACACATGAATATAATGCTGTAATTTTTTGAGTTTTGCATCCAATCAATTCCGAACTCCCAGGGAATGTTCTAGGCAGCAATGGGCTGCAGCCTATTGATTGTGGTGAAAATTGGGAAGGGAAAATGGGTGAGCCCCTTGCCTATGGTTATTAGACCCAGCAACTTCAACCACTTCTGTAATTCTCTAGAGATAAAAGAACTGGCTGACGGCAGCCATCACCATCTTTCAGCATAACATCCACTGCACCCCTCACCTCTGCCAATCCTCCCAGTAGATTTTAACATGTTGACATTGTGAATGATCTAGTATCTCCTAAGATGGGTACAACAATACTGCAAACTATTAGCTCCCAGACAAAGAAAAAGAAAAAATAAGAGTGGGTGGGAAGAAGGGACATGCAGAGTCTTTGACAGGGGGACCGGATGTGGTAGCTAGGGAGTACACAGAACCGCTAGTAAATATTAAAACTAAATATGAAAAGCAGCATAAAAATAAACTGCAGCCTCGGTAGAATACTATGGTGAAGGGTGTTTTATAAAGGCAACAAAGAAAGTATTCTAACATGTTTGATGATAAAAATTGTGGCATTCTTTGATGATTTGTGCTCTTATTACTACCACTTCACAACAAACATTCTATGGCAAACAGCATTCTTTAATTCAGTTTTGCAATAATACCTGTAGACTAAGCACAAGATTTAGTCTCATATCTAGGGCCCTACCACATTCAGGGTCCATTTTGGTCAATTTCACAAAGGATTTAAAAAATCATAAATTTCATGATTTCAGTTATTTAAAACTGAAATTTCACGGTGTTGTAATTGTAGGGGTCCTGACCCAAAAAGGGATGTGTGTGTGTGTGTGTGTGGTACGTGCTACCCTTACTTCTGCGCTGCT